AAATTCAAATTATGAAGTAATTGATTATTCAACTATCAAATTATGAAGTTAATGATTAGTGAGTAATCAACAGGATTTTTGAAATACTTTCACGGTATTTGGTACTACTAATATTTAATTTAATTTAATTTTAAAAATCTGCTTATATACCGATGTCATTACTCTTATTTTCTAAGTTCAATGTAGTAACAGCAACATGGCGAAATCCCGTCTCTACTGAAAGTACAAAAATTAGCTGAGTGTGGTAGCGGGGCCTGTAATCCCAGCTACTGGGGAGACAGAAGCAGGGAATCGGTTGAACCCGGGAGGCAGAGGTTGCAGTAAACCGAGATCACGCCAGTGCACGAGACTCTATTTCAAAACAAAAAAAAAAGAAAAGAAAAGAAAAATATTTTATGAAAGATGCTCTGCGTTAATTTGTTATGTGATCAAGTATTTTTTTTCCAATTAAGTGGAAGGTGCGTAAGTATTTCCAACATGGATCTAAATCCAGTGTAACAAAAAAGTTGATCTTCATTAAAACCAAATTCAGGCTGGGCTCTGTGGCTCACGCCTGTAATCCCAGCACTTTGGGAGGCCAAGGTGGGTGGATCGCTTGAGGTCAGGAGTTCGAGACCAGCCTGGGCAACATGGCAAAACCCAGTCTCTATGAAAATACAAAACTTAACCGGGTGTAGTGGCTCACGCCTGTAATCCCAGCTACTCAGAGGCTGAGGCAGGAGAATTACTTGAACCCAGGAGGTGGAGGTTGCAGTGAGCCTAAATTGCACCACTGCACTCCAGCCTGGGCAACAGAGCAGGACTCCGTCTCAAAAACAAACAAATAAACAAACAAAACCCCCACCAAATTCAGTTATGCATCTTTGAGTGAAAAGGAATTGTGCTGGGTTTTTTTTGAGACAGAGTCTCACTCTGTCGCCCAGGCTGGAGTGCAGTAGTGTGATCTTGCCTCACTGCAACCTCTGCCTCCTGGGTTCAAGGGATTCTCCTGCCTCAGCCTCCCAAGTAGCTGGGATTATAGGCGTGCAGTACCATGCCTGGCTAATTTTTGTATTTTAGTAGAGACAGGGGTTCACCATGTTGGCCAGGCTGGTCTCGAACTCCTGACCTCAGGTGATCTGCCCGCCTCGGCCTTCTAAAGTGCTGGGATTACAGGCGTGAGCCACTGCACCTGGCCTGTGCATTTTGTTTATTTGTTTTGTTTTGTTTTGTTTTTGAGACAGATTCTCGCTCCATTGCTCAGGCTGGTGTGCAGTGCCATCACAGTTCGCTGCAGCCTCAACCTCCTGGGCTCAAGCAATTCTTCGGCCTCAGCCTCCCAAGTAACTGGGACCACAGGCATATACCACCACACCCAGCTAATTTAAAAATTTTTTTTGTAGAGAGAGAATCTTGCTATGTTGCCAAGGCTGAAATTGTGCTTTTTAAAGTGAGTTGTAATTGTTATGTATGATAGCTCAAGTATTGCTTTATTATAATTAAAAATATATGGAATTTCATTAACATGACATTTAGTAATTTAAAGTTAATGGCTTCAATTCCATTTGCCTTGTCTATTATGAAATGTGTGTGACCATTTTGAAAACATAGATTAATGTGTGTGACCATTTTGAAAACGTAGTTTACATATAGAAACACTAGGAAATTGTGAATTAATACAGGACAGCCATGTAATATGGAAGACAAGCAGGGAAGAATTAATTTGCTGGGAAGGTGGAGGAAATTAACGTACTCAATGTTGTTAATTCTGTGTTTTGGTTTTCACAGCAAAAAGTGTCTACTGACTTTAAGTTAAAATGGAAAAATATGAAAACCTGGGATTGGTTGGAGAAGGGAGTTATGGAATGGTGATGAAGTGTAGGAATAAAGATACTGGAAGAATTGTGGCCATAAAGAAGTTCTTAGAAAGTGACGATGACAAAATGGTTAAAAAGATTGCAATGCGAGAAATCAAGTTACTAAAGGTGAGTAAATGCATATATTGAATCGAAAAAATATGAGTATCAGTTCCTTTTTTGGCAATAAGAAGAAATACAATGATTAGATATGCAAATTCATTTATCTGGTGAATGTAAACCTGATTTTAAAAGTGCTTATTCCTTCTCTCTGTGTCTTTCTGTGTATTTATCAATCATCTATCTATGGTCTGTGTTAGCAGTCCCAAAGATCACCCCCAGATTTGATGACTTGTTAGTAGGAATATCATTAATTTTTGCTCTTTATTATTTCATTTCTTCTACTTATTTGTATGGGTTTATTTTGCAGCTCCTTTTCCTAATTTGTTGAGATAGATGCTTCTCTAATTTCCAGCCTTTTTTCCCCTCAAATATGCATTTAAGGATATACATTTTCCTGTAGGAACAGCTTGGTATGTATCCTGGAAATTTTGATTGCTAACAATAGTTTCTCATTTCCGTTATATTTTTCTTAATCCCTGAGTTATTTAAAAGTATATTTCTGAATTTCCAAACATGGACATTTTCTAGGTTATTTCCTGGTTATTTATTTGTGACAGAACTGCCCTATGATCTGAGTATACACCATATAAGAATTTATTTCTTTGATTCTTGATATTTGCTTTTTGGTTCAGAATATAGTCAACTAAAAAAAACCCTCTTGTTCTTGAAAAGTATTTCATATATGTTCATTAGTTCATGTTAAATTGTGTTGTTCAAATCTTCCAAATTCTTACTTATTTTTCTTATATGCTTGTTTTATCCAACACTGAGAATATGTTAAAATCTTCCTTTGTGATTATTGATTTTTCTGCTTTTCATTGTAGTTCAGTTAATGTTTATTTTTATAAACAGAAACAGTATTATTAGTGTGTTATATTTAGAATTATTTTATCTTGCTGTTGAGTTAAATCTTTTGTCATTATGCAATAACCCTTTTTATTATAGTAATATTTTGTTTCGATGTTTTTATTTTTTTTGAGACGGAGTCTTACTCTGTTACCAGGCTGGAGTGCAATGGCGCTATCTCAGTTCATTACAACTTCCACCTCCCAGGTTCAAGTGATTCCCCTGCCTCAGCCTCCTGAGTAGCTGGGACTACAGGTGTGCATCACCATGCCTAGCTTCTTTTTTTTTTGTATTTTAGTAGAGACAGGGTTTCACCATGTTGACTGGGATGGGCTTGAACTCCTGACCTCATGATCTACCCGCCTCAGCCTCCCAAAGTGCTGGGATTACAGGCATGAGCCACCATACCCGGCTGTTTCGTTTTGTTTTTTTGAGACAGGGTCTTACGCTGTCCTCCAGGCTGGAGTGCAGTAGCATCATCATGGCTCACTGCAGCCTTGAACTCCTGTGCTCAAGCAATCCTGCACCTGTCTCCCAAGTAGCTGGGATTGCAGGTGTGTGCTGCTATGCCTGGCTAATTTTTTTATTTTTAGTAGAGATAAGGTCTCACTATATTGCTCAGGCTGGTCTCAAACTCCTGAGCTAAAGTAATCCTCCTACCTCGGCCTTTCAATGTTGGGATTATAGGTGTGAGCCAGCACACCTGGCCAGTATTTTGTTTTAAGATCTAATTTATTTGAAATTAATGAGTACATACATTAGTTTAATTTTTGTTAGTGTTTCCATAGTAAATCTTTTCCATATTTTTACTTCTAATTTTTCTGAATGCTTTTTTTTGTTTGTTTCTTTTGAGATGGAGTTTCACACTTGTTGCCTAGGCTAGAGTGCAGTGGAGCGATCTTGGCTCACTGCAACCTCTGCCTCCTGGGTTCAAGCGATTCTCCTGCCTCAACCTCCTAAGTAGCTGGTATTATAGGCACCCCCCACCATGCCTGGCTAATTTTTGTATTTTTAGTTGAGATGGGGTTTCACCATGTTGGCCAGGCTGGTCTCAAACTCCTGACCTCAGGTGATCCGCCCGCCTCAGCCTTCCAAAGTGCTGAGATTACAGGCGTGAGTCACCACGCCTGGCCCCCTAATTTTTCTGAATTTTTGTTTAGATGTATCTCTTGTGAAAACTGTATAGTTACATTTTGCTTTTTTCCTGTTTGACAATATTTGCCTTTTAGTTGGAGCATTTATTCCATTTACTTGTAATATAATATCTGATGTATTTTGAATATATATATCTACCACCTTAATATGTGCTATTTGTATTACCAATTCTCTATGTCTTTTACTTTTGTTACTTTGGATTGATTATATTTATCATTCCTAATTATCTAATACTTGTTCTTGATCTTAATAATGGTGTTTGACACGGTCAAATCTTATGACTTTTCCCCTATGGCTATCAGTTGTCCCAGAAACATTTATTGAAAATACCATCTTTTTCTCCACTGTTCTGAATATTCCTTTTGCCACATGTTCTCCTATATAGGTAAGATTTTATTCTGTCCCATTGGTTTATTTGTTTAAGCTTGCACCGGTAGCCCACAATCATGTTTATTCTAGTTAGTAGGTTTTTTTTTTTTTTTTTGAGACAGGGTCTTGCTCTATCACCTAGGCTGCAGTGCAGTGGCATGATCTTGACTCACTGCTATCTCTGCCTCACAGGCTCAAGTGATTCTCCCACTTCAGCCCTCTGAGTAGCTGGGCCTACAGGCGTGTGCCACCATGGTTGGCTAATTTTTGTATTTTTTTGGGTAAAGATAGGGTTTTGCCATGTTGCCCAGGCTAGTCTTGAGCTGCTTGGCTCAAGCAATCCACCCTCCTCAGCCTTCCAAAGTGCTGGGATTACAGGTATGAGCCACTGCACCTGGCCTAGTTTGTAAGTTTTTATATCTGGTAGAATAAATCCCTTCTGTTTTGTCCTTCTTCTATAAGACTATCTTCCCTATTTTTGTCTGTTTGCATTTCCATATACAAATTATAAATTTTAGAATCAATTTACCAATGTTCATAAAAACTCTAGGAATTTAATTGAATTTATGTAGATCAATTTGTGGAGAATTGATGTGTTTACAATATTGCATCCAGTTCATGAACATTGTATAACCCTTTTGTTTCTTGGTCTTCTTGTCTTTTTTTTTTTTTGAGATGGAGTCTTGCTCTGTCACCCAGGCTCGAGTATAGTAGTATGATCTCATCTCACTGCAACCTTTACCCACTGGGTTCAAGCAATTCTCCTGCCTCAGCCTCCTGAATAGCTGGGATTACAGGTGCCCACTGCCACACCTGGCTAATTTTTGTATTTTAGTAGAGGCAGGGTTTCACCATGTTGGCCAGGTTGCTCTCAAACTCCTGATCTTGTGATCCACCCACTTCGGCCTCCCAAAATGTTGGGATTACAGGCATGAGCCACCAGGCCTGGCCAGTCTTCTTGTCTTAACATATACTTTGCCATTAGTATGTTTGCACTTTTGATCATTATTTATATGATATATACTTTTTAATCCTTTCTCCTGTTAACCTTCTGTGTCTTTAGATGTAAAGCATATCTCTTATAAGCAGATACAGTTGTTTCTTTTGTTTTATTCAGTTTGATAGTCTTTGTATTTTACTTGGAGTGTTTAGTCTATTTATATTTAATATAAAACTTACATATTTGGATTTATACTTATCTTCCTAGTTGCCTTCCATATTTCTAGGTTTTTTTCTTTTTAAACATTATTTTGTTAAACATTATTTTGCTAGTATTTTAGAAATTATTCTAGATATTGTAATATACGAACCTGACTTACTGATACTCAAACAGGTACTTTTACAGTGCAAAACTCTTAGCATTTTTACCTTCAGTTACTCCCTCCTTTCTCCCCTCCACCCATCAGATATATGTGTTATTGCTACTATGTAATATTGTTAAATTCTATATATAGTTAAATCCCTTTTAAAATTGTTCACAGTCAGCAGTTATTAAGATATACCTAATATTACCCTTTCTATTACTCTTTAATCTTTCCTGCATTTCTGAGTTTCCATCTGGGTTCATTTTCCTTATGCTTAAAGCACGTCCTTTATTTTCTTTAAAGCAAATCTGATGATAAGAAGTTCTATTCATTTTTGTTAGTATATATTCTACTTTGTGTTTAAAAGACTGTTTCAAGCTGTTGTGGTAGCATGGGCCTATAGTCTTTGCTATTCAGAGGGCTGAGGTGGAAGGATCACTGGAGCCCAGGAGTTTGAGACTGTGGTGTGCTATGATCATGTCTGTGAATAGCCCCTGCACTCCAGCCTGGGCACTGTAGTGAGATCTCATCGCTTAAAAAAAAAAAGAAAAAAAGGCTATTTTCTCAGGATGTAGCATTCAGCGTTGTCAGTTAATTACATTCAGTATGTTCAAGATAGAATTCTACTATTCTGCTGGCTCCCATTGCTTGTATTGAAAAATCAGACATCAGTCTTATTGTGTTCCTCAATAACCATTTTCTTCTAGATACTTTTAAGGTTTTATTTTTG